TTAAATGAAATAGTTTCAGGATTTTCAAATTCAAGTATCTCTTTTATTGTTTGTTTTACTTTTCTAGTTAACTAAACAGATTTCTTTTTCTATCTTAGCAGTAGTTGAAATAGATTAGCTTTATACACACTGTAGTGTACTAACAACTGTTAAATTCATTTAAAAATAAAGGAATAATTTCTATAAGATAGATCATTTATTTATAGATTGACATTTCATAACATTATGGGTTTTTTGTTATAAAATAAGGTATACAAGATTTATAATTTAAGATGTTAACATTAATTCACTTAAATCTAATGGGCCGTTGTTGCTACCTTGATGTGGTTGTCGGGCTTGCCTATTGTGATGAACCAATCGAGTTATACTGGCTGGAACAATCATTCTTCAATGTTCTACCATGTCAGATATGTCGGTTGAAGAGTGGTAAGACTAAAAGCAGCAAACCCAAGGTTCGAAAGCGAAGTCATACTGTTGACTGTACAGAGGTGTGACGACAGCAAGGTGTTTCCTTCAGATGACCAGTATAACAGCGATGCACACCTCACCTTATCCTACGAATATTCGTCTCCGGCGGTTAGGTCTCAACAAGTACGGAGCTAACACGAGAATTACTCATAAAGAAGTCGTGTGTAACCGACCTCAAGCAGTTGTCCCTTGGGTACTGCGGTCACGCTCTCAGGTCACTAAGACCACCTCTAATCCAATTTCCTTTTCAGGTACCTCTAGAAGAACCCTTCTACGGTGTGTGCAACCGGGAAGTGATAACCACTCTCATACCTCTGACAGCATTCAAGACTGACTGACTGGATTAAAACAGCAGTGTATAAAAATCTAACTATTACTGAGTTATTTTTAAACTATAGGAATTTAAAATGTACCATTTGATACTCTAAAGACAGATTTTTTTCTCCAGTTGTTAATTTCTATCATTTATCTTTAATTGAGAAGTATTTCAACTACATTATACACTGCAATTATCTTCATTCATCGGTATATTGAACGTGTTAAGTTCAATATTATCGCTTTCTCGTTTCTTTAAGAGATAGATTGGATAGGAAATACTCTAGAATTGTAGTGTTACCGTTAATGATTCTCAGTATTTTATATCACAATAATTTGTAAGCTTTTTAGAAAAGTGCATTGTTGCACACAATTAGTATTTACAGTTATTCAGGTAAAATAAATTTAAAACAGGGTCTGTGCACAGTTTTTGCCACAGTGATGAAAACAGGTAGAGTTGGACCCCAGTAATTGTAATAACAATAGCAATACAATAACATAACTGAAATAATTATCGATCTGTATTACATTATCAATAAATTTTCTATATAGGCTATTAAAATAATCGAATTATTGTTGTACTAATAAAAACCAGTCGATTTACTATCTCTTTTTTCTGTAGTGATTTAGTGTATGAACTTGGCCTGATGAGTAAATATGTTACATTTTGTATTGTGTATAACTAACTGACCGACTATTCAGTGAATATAGAAGCTCATTATATTTTAGGTGTGTATAGATAAGATTATTTATTACTAAACACATAGAAACCGTACTTTCTTGGATGATGCAGCTCATGAAGTTGTTCCTATATTGTTCTATTTTTTAGAATCATAACTTCACATTACTATTTAGTGATTGTTACAATTGGAAATGTGTAGAATGTTAGCTAATAGGATAATCTATTTTAAGTTATGTTTATATTAAGTAAACACTTATGATTTGTTTGCACAACTTATTTCCTAAGGACATTATATACTGCTATTTGACTGTCTGAGATTTGAGACATTGGGAGTGTGTGTGTGACAGGACTATCACATTTAGGTAAAGATGACAAGTCAGTCGGTAAAATTTATAGATCTACGTAATCTTCTGACTTCTAAGCTGCTGTGCTTTATGATGTACAAAATTTCGTAAGCTGATGTATGAAGTCATTGAATAACACTTGCTAATTTGGTGTTTGGAGATTTTAAGTAATCTGTTTAAAAATATAGCTGATTTTATCATGTCCACGTCTATGTGATCAGCTTAAAACCACTCATTAGGTGTAGCGACATTTTGGTGTATTTACTGAATGATTTTAATCATAAAGCTTCGATTATCTTTATGATCAACATCATCAACACAAACTTCATGTTGAAATAATGAGGTGTTTATTTTGTTGACTTTGGCAGGATATGAGACAACAACAACAAAACAAATGGTTAGTCATACGAACAAAACTCTCGACACATCACTTTTATCTGAAATTTTGAACGATCATATTGTCTCGAAAGGTAATGAAGATTCTACGCTTAAACTATCTAGAATAGAGAACTTAACTTCACTAAAATCAAATGAGAATAATAATATTATCAGAATGCGGGTTTGTGGAGATTGGAGTAATTTTAATAGTTGAATTCATGAGTCGATCTAAGCTAGACTTTCGGTCTCAGACAATGGAAGAGGGGTTGCGCTAAATTATGAGTCGATTGAAGTTAGGCTCAATGGTCTATAGGTTAGGCGTCCACACGCTAAACTGATGATTCTGAGCTCGCGTCCCGCATGCGGGATGATGGATGCACACTACTGAGTGGTTCCATGCTAGGACAAAACGACTGTCCAATACTTTCACGTATTGAATGGTGATTTAGCTTAGATTGACTCATGAGTTCAACTATTAAAATAATAATATTATCAGGCTTCCTTAAAATGTATTCGATGGAGTAGAGTTCAAATCTCCGACCTATCTTGTTAAAGACCCAATACTTTAACTACTAGGCATCCGTCCTATGGCAGTTTAAAAAGGAGTATTACTCACTTACGCCTGTTACCCCTCAAGGAGGAGCATAGGCCGCTCACCAGCATTCTCCATCCAACCCTGTCCTGGGTAATCCTTTCTAGCTCTTTCCAGTTGTTATTCATTCTTTTCATACCTGCTTTTATTTCCCAACGTAGTGTGTTGTTTGGCCTTCCTCTTTTCCACTTCCCTTCAGGATTCGAAGTTAGGGCTTGCCTCGTGATGCAGTTTGATGATTTGCGTAATGTATAACCTATCCAAAAAGCAGTATACCTAAATCAATTATAAATTGTGTAATTTTAATTTCCATATATATATACCAGGTCAATTAGTCGGTATTTATTTGCATGTTATATACTTCCAGTTCTTTCAACATGTTACTTATTACTTAACGTGTGTATATGATGAATTAACTCTAACACAAATGCGCTCTAGTGGTTTCCTTTTTTTGCAAAATTTCTTATTTATAATTACACTCTATAAGCCAACCGTATAAATCATTATTACAGTTTGCTAGGTTACAATTTGCACTTGATTCAATCATGTTGTCTTTATTGTTTATCTGTTATAGTAGTTAAATAGTAAATTTGTATTTAGTTAGTATCAGTTACAGTGTTTGTGTATTTTCTTCTTTATTATTATTTTTATTAGTGTAGGGTTGTGGACGAAATGACCATGCAATGCTCCCGGGTTTTCATTTGTGGTCTAACGTCGATCGGTTCATCATCTGTATTATTATTATTGTCGTTTTTCCCTTTTGAAGATTCTTCCAGTATTAAAAAAATTGAAACTACTATGATGATGATACAATGTTCCCTGTTTAGCGCAATAATATTTTTTCTTACTAAAGTTGTACAGTCTTGTATTGTACTGTTACCAAACGCATCACCTGATCTTGCTAATAAAAATGGAGTATAAGTAAATTAATAGTTCGTACCTTGAACACTTCCTTAGCTCTGGTTACATAGTCCCATTTGAATCGTCTTCCAACGTTATGTAACGTGTTCGAGAATCGGAAATTTGTGCATTAAAAAGGTAGCAACAACCTATCAACCCAAGAACGATCGCATTAGATCTTTCGTACTATCATTTTTCTAATTCCTAATTTTTCACAATTCATAAGGTTCATTCTGGTGATCACGCAATATTATAGATTATGCTGTTTGTGTTCAGTGAATATAAGTACTGTAAAGTGTTGTTTTATTGGTTACAGCAATCACATTTCAACTATCAAGCCAGTGGTTCAAACCTCGTCCCGTCAACTTCGGTCTAGTTAACTGCTTAATACCACCTAACCCAAACACAACCCATGTGACTTAAGGTTGAATACAAAATCTTTTTTACGTGGTAAATGAGTTATTTCATCTACAGCTTCTCTATGTGGCATTATCGAAAGTACGTTCTTGATAGTTCACATCACGAATTTATCTTAGACAAGCAACGGAAACCAGAAATCACTAAAAATGTTTTAATCTCGGTAAGAGACTCAATAAAATTCTATACAAAATTCTGCAATCCAGAATCAACATATGCTTACTAGCATATAACTTCGAAAAGTAATTCCAGGGGTTTCAGTATAAAGGCATAACCAGTGAAGTTCAACCATCTCAGGTATGAGATAAATATTATCAATAATAGTGATTGATTGAAGTTAGAAATGTACACCATTGGATGACAACCCAGATGTCTCAATACTAAGCGCTCATCACAAGACTTAATCCTGGTTTTGATCTACATTTGGATTATATATAAAAATTACTAAGGAGTCCTGCATTGAATCTGAAAAGACATTCCGTGCTTTCTGATTTTCACCGGATTAGTTGAGGTTAGACATTAACATCGTTAAGGTTAAGCGTTCACGCGCGAGACTCAAGGCCCTAGGTTCGAATCCCGCGAGTGGAATCGTGGATGCGCACTTTCGAGGAGTCCCATAATAGAACGAATCGGCCGTCCAGTGCTTCTAGGTTTTCAGTTGTGGTCGAACATAAATCGGTTCATGATCTCAATCAAAAAATATCTAACTGAAGATCAATTCGTGATCTAGACTATAACATTCAATAATCTTTATAATACGATCTCATAATAAGAACATACCTTCTTTACTATATTGAATTTATATAACTATTCCATTATTCACTATTTCTTTAATTTGTTCATTGAAGTTTGTCTGTTTTCTTTATTTTATCCTCTTTTATTTTCTCTATTTACTTTTTTTTAGAGTGAATATCCTACTAATCCAATTGTATCTAAATCTTTAGCTGATACTAATCCATCTATTGAAATAATAAATAGATTTTCATATCAATCAAATATATCAAAATCATCAATTGATCATGTATTTGAACGTTCATCTAAACCGAATTCATTATATTTTATCCGACCAACACAGCATGCAATTGATATGTAATGTAGTTATGATGGAAAAGAAAATAAATAAACAAACAAACCATCAATTATTTCTATGATTATGATTAACTTTGTGGTGTATTATATATGTGTGTACACTTATTTCTTTTTTATGATTATTATTTTGATTTGAAGAGTTCTTTTTGAAAAAAAAGAAACATAAACGAAAGAAAAAAGCAAACTGTTTATATCACTGATTAATTCATTATTGAAATAATCATATCATTCTTCGTATATAGTGAATGATGATATTGAACACTGAAGAATCTTCCGTCTTGTTCGCTATACTGTGATTACTACCAGTACTACTACTACTACTATGTATATTACAGTACTATTTACACTTTTCACAAGGATTATATAGCATTGTGTTCAACTTTCTTGTTTCTATCTTTATATTCACTTATTTCTTTTATATATTTATGTGCACATTTTACTACTTACTCTGTGCTAATCATCATCATCACCATCTTCGCTGTATTATGTATATGTGTGTGGGTGTGTGTGTGTGACTAGCCCATTGTATACAATTAGAAAATTCTGATTTTATCTGTTACCCATTTACGGTTGCTTACTGTTTTTTTCAAACCCTTGTTTATATATTTTTCTAGGCAAATAAAACTACTCATATATGTTTGTTTTTTGTTTCTTTCTTTCTGTAGAAACGTTTATTCTATACAATTTAGGCTGTGCACTACTTGCTGTACATGTACATCAAAAACAAACAAACAAAATGTTTACATATATATACTACTTATTTAGTCTTCTATCTCTGTTCATAAAATATCCTTTACAATATATCTTTTCATTAATATTTCTATATTCTGTTCAGTATCTTTCTTTTCTGTCTCTTCTTTTAAAAACGAGAACAAGCACTATACTACTACTATTACTACTTAAATCAAATTTCACACATTTATTTCTCTTTTCATTTGATTTAAATTTCTTGACCATTTGTATAATATTTAAGAAAAGAAGAAGAAAAAAGAGAACTCAGTAACTAATATCATTTTTTACCATGTGCATATCATATTTCATTTCATTTCTTTCTTTTTTTTTAATTTTTTTAATTTTGTTTAATTAAAATGTAACCCTAATTATCATTTAACTTTGTCTATAAAACCATGTTATTATTGTTAATGTGAATAATACTATTTATTTATCTACTTATATAATGTGTATATTTGTGCAATATACACTGTACTGAATATGTGCGTATAAATTATTATATGTAACTGTATATATTTGTATGTGTGTATTTGTGTATGAAAGGAATTCTACCTCTTGATGAGTTGATATGATAAGAGTACAATAAATATACAATAGTACAGTTAATAATATTAATCTAAATATACATAATATTGAATGTCGCTTAAATTGTCTTTCTTCTAGAGTAATTACATAAAATGTGTATTTATTATTGTTCCATTTGTTTCCTTCGTTTTTTTTTGAATTCTTTGATTCATAGAAAATGTTCTCTTTATTTATATTTTCTTTAAAACTTTTTTCCCTCCTTTTTTTGTTCTATTAAGCATTGTTCTCTTTTCATTCTTTTAATTATTCTTTTCTGGATTGTTTGTTTTTTATCGTGAAATAAAAGAGCTTGTTCTCTGAATGTCCTTATTTCTCCCTTGTTCTACACAAAAATGTAAATCAATGAACCAATGTCTTTCACTAGATAAAAAGCTACATCTTCATTTTTTTGTTTGTTTTTCATAACCGATGTGATAAATATCACTCATTCTTTCTCCCTTTTTAGAACTGATTCATTAAGATCCTGTGTTTTTTTTCTCTACCGATATTTACAATAATTATTCATGGTATACGTATGTGGAAAATGGATTTGGTTTATTCGTTTTGAACCATTGTTTTAATGTCACAAACTGATAACAACATCAAGATAGATATACTGTTTATATGTATGCGTGTATCTGTTTGTGTTGTTGTTGTTTTTATTTGTGGCAGTGTAATTACACCTGACATTCCGGCATTTAGTAATTTTATTCTGGAGTTTTATCTACTAATTCTCTCGTTCTTTTTTTGATTCGCAAGACAATTATTTGCACAGTTTACACAGTTTTTCATGGTTATTCATTTCTCATGTCTGTTCGTGTGTGTTTTGTTTATGCTTCTTTAATGAAGCTATTTGATTTTCCCAATTGTAAACCGCATTTTCTTCGTTTGTTTATGTTGATTCTACTGTCGGTGGCGCTACTTTCTCTCCTTGTTATCTCTCTATTATGATCGGTTTTGTTTTCTCATCTTATCTTTCTGTCCAATTTGTTCAAAGTGTAATATCTCTCAGGTGTAAAAGACAAATAACTTGTCAATATTTTATGTGATATTGTGTTATTTATGACCCGGTAGTGAATTAATTTGTCTAATATGCCTATCACTTATATTTCTATGCATACTGTTATGTAAGTTATTTCCATTGGCTCTGATAATTTCGTCAGAGCTGCTTTCCTTTGTGATCCCGCATATATATATATATATATATATATATATATATATATATATATATATATATATATTGATATAACATTCCAACATGCCCAAATGCAACATAGTTATACATCTGACTACACAAACAAATGTATATGTTCATTTATAACACTAATATATCACTGTTATACTCCATATGGACGGATATATATATTTATAGATACATATATACGCTGACTTCTGCTTCTGTCTACATGTAAAGTAACTGTTAAAAGTTGTCGGGTAAGAATATTTAGATGTTTTTCAACTGATACATGTTGAAAGTCCGCTCTACATTTTTTGATTTAAGTAACTAGTTAGTAATAGAGTTTACGGCTAACAGACGAAGCGGTGTTATGATTTAGATTTTCTATTCTTATACTCAAATAGATACAAACAGCTCTAAATGTTCATACGTACTATATTTATGTAGTGAAACTACTTTCGTTATTGATGAATGATGATTTCATAAGGCAAAATTAATTTTGTAGAATGTGTGTTCTATAATTATTCTGTAACAGTTCTTCCTGATAGTTGAACTACTTTTTTGCGATTCATATTATTTAAATATGTGCGTAAGCATTGTTCTGAATGATCAGTTATTTGATAAAAGATATTGTTTCATCATTACATGTGTGTGCGTACTTTTAAGTGATGAAATACTTCATGATATTGTACTACTCTTATCATAATCTCATTCATTTAACTTATTAGGTTTATTTATACGATCAGAAAAAGTATATATATTAATCAAGATTTCTATGATTAGTATGCAACTATTCATATCGTTCAATAAACTATAACCTTTAACTTTCATATTGACGTTTTTATTACCGGTAATAGTGTTAAGCTGTGTATTTGTTGTTACTCTGAATAATATGATTTTCGAAAGAAATCTCAAAGTAATTTTTCTTTCAGTGTAGAGGTTGTGGAGATTATTAAGTTTTTGATTGAGATCATGAACCGATTGCTGTTAGATCACCATTGAAAACCTGGAAGCACTGGACTGCCGTTTCGTCTTATGGTGGGACTCCTCAACAGTGCGCATCCACGATCCCGCTCGCAGGATCCGAACCTGAAACCTTCAGTCTCGCGCGCGAACGCTTGACCTTTAGACCACTGAGTCGGCATCCAATGGTGTTAATGTCTAACATCAACCAATCCACGAAATTGCGCGAACATCTTTCATTGTAATGAGGTAGTTACCTATCTCTACCCGACACGGATTAGTTCCACTGATCACAGCTTCTCACTAGAAGTTCGAGAATTCTCTCACGAAGCTAGTCATTAGAGAGTGTTTAAATCTTACAGACATTCACTTTGATACACTAATAAGATGAGGTTTAGAAGTACGAATGTTAAAACTGAATATGATTTGTAGATTTGGATAAATTCAAAATCTACTTTAAAACACTTCATCAACTACTTACAGCTTAAGGTTATTACATGTTAGGGAGTAATTATTTGACAAGTTTTAACTAAAGATGAGATTTCTGTTTAGAAATCTAAACATACGTCAGATCTCTGGACATGTAAAATTACAATAGAATGATATTATAATAAAATGTGATTATAAAACAACAATAAGATAAACTGAAAAGAAGTGTATAGTTTTCATTTCCCATTTACATAGCTGCTTTTATCATAAAACTGATTTCCACTCTCTCCACTTATTTTAAATAGGATTATCAAAAGTAAAAATTTAATAAATTTTTACATTATCAATTTTGATAAATTCTAATTATTTAAGACATATTCAGCATTATCCTTATCAAGCTGTCCATGAAAAATTCACAAAGGAGGTATTTAAGTAGAATGTGATGTTATGTACCGTTGTGCCCCCAAATGCCCTGGTAGAGCTGAGGATGGGAACAGTCAGCGTATACAGCCACTGTCGGGGAAGTCCTACTCACTGCATTCTCGCGCCGCCAAGGTGTTGTTTACGAAATCGAGTGGACGAAAACCGAATGTCCGGCACTTTAGCAGGGTTGGTGGATATAGACAGTCCACCTAGGGGAGTTGGAAAACCGTCATTCCAAACCTATGGTGTACATGGGCTTCAGGATCCTGGAGGAAAAGTTAAGTATAAACCAATTGTTGGTCACTGGCTACCATGGGATCGCATCTCCTAACGTTGCTCCACTGCCTTGTGGATTATGCCTTGAGGTCAAAGACTCGGGGTGTTGCCCCTTAAGAAAATCACCTGTTTCTGTTCTGGAACTCTGGCAGTGGTGCTTATCTATTCGTTGCCTTGTACCTATGTTTATGTGTTTAAATAAATAAAAGGTTGTAAGATTTAGTATAGATCCTTCCGTATTGTTCATTTATTATTTACTTTAAATGGTTGATAATTTACTACCAAAAAACATTATAAATTATCAGTGCCAACTTCTCTTTTTTACTCATTTATTAGTAATTAGACTATTACCCAGACAATACTAAGGCTTTTGAAAATTTCTTAGAATATATCATCATGTTTACAAAAGAAACTGTCTAATATATTTTCTCTAAATTAATTTATCATGCTTTTTTTCTTTAATAAAATGAGTTATCCATTTCTGGTATTTATTCTAAAACTAACCATGAATCAAGATGGTGGTTAGAGGTAATCAACAGGAAACCCTGAACCTAGATTTCGTACTACTTGGTACTCGTCAGTAAGGTGTACTTGTAATCTCGAAAGAACGGATACTCTCTGAGGGATTCGATCTTGTATCATCCACCTTCACAGCTAGAATGAATTTCATTTATTTTATTTCACAAAGAACAAACACTTCAAATACTCATATTTGCATACAATATGCGTTTGTTTTAAATTGTTTTCTTCTCACAGTTGACTGTCAGCAAAAGTAGATTAGCCTGTTTCACCATGTATAGCACGCACTAGTAACATGTAACAATTTTGAATGATTATATATATATATATATATTATATATATATATATATATATATATAATTGTAAAATGTAAAAAAAATTAAGGGTGTATACTTTCAGATGTTATTCATTGATTGGAAATGTCTTATTAAGATTTAAATACTGTAAAGCGCATAACACAAATTAAATGTATCATCGTTGGTGACTGGAATTATGAGTACATTACTGTTACCGAAGTAAACACTGTTACAGTCATCAAACTTTTATGTTTTATTTATTTGAACACAAATATTGGTACAAAGGGGCACCAAATACATATGCGGCACACAAGTCACTTGTTTTGTGTATGAGCTGTGTTACTGTCCGGTTGCCCAAACCAAAGCAGGTGGTTTTCTTAGGAGGCCACACTCGGAGCCTTACACCTAAAAGTCTGATCCACAAGGTAGTAGGGCAATGGAATTAGGGTTTCTCAGCTCCCCTAAGTGGACCGTCCGTGTCCACCAACCCTGTTAAAGCGTCGGATATTCGCTTTTCGTCCTTCCAATTTCCTAAACAACACTTTGGCGGTGCGAGAAGGCAGTGAGTAGGACTTCCCTGACAATTGTTGTATGTACATGTCCATATGAGAGCATTTGCAGAGGGAGAGCTGACTCTCCTCACTCTCGGTCGTACCAGGGCATTTTGGGGCATATATATATATATATATATATATAAATCCGTTCTTTTCATAACGTCTTATTCTTGTCCATTTTCAGGTCAACTATATAAATGTACGTGTTTATCGCCTGAT